GAAGTCAAAGTGACTGAAGGAGTTGATGATGGTGAAGTGGAACCAAGTATAGATATTAAAGCAGAACAGGAGAAAGAACAATATTTTTAGCCAATAATCGATTTTCTACAAGCAAGTGTTTTGCGCCCTGCTTGGGAGAAGGTGTCTAGCTTAAGTCCTGTGACAAAGAACTATCGGGCACAATGGGACCAGTTGAAGCTTGAAGATAGTATTCTTGTCCAGAGATGGGAAAGTGACGACCTGGCAAACTGTTATACCGAGAAAGTTACGGGAAGTTGTGCTGCGTCAATCCCATGATAGTTTAACAGGAGGACATCTCAAAGTTAAGTAGACATTGAGTCACCTACGACAGAGATTTTACTGGATAGGTATGAGGCAAGGTGTGGAAGAATGGTACAGGACATGCAGTACGTGTTGTGCTAAAATGGAACCCAAGCATAAGGCACATGCTCCAGTGAAGTTATATCAAGTTGGTGCACCAATTGAAAGAGTAGCCATTGACATTGCTGGTACATTGCCCCAAACTCGTGCTGGAAACAGGTACATTTGTGGCCTGAGGTATATGCAATACCAAATCAGGAAGCTACAACTGTAGCTTCAGCTATTAGTGATTTCGTCTTTAGGTTTGGTATGCCATAAACTGCATTCAGATCAAGGCCATAACTTTGAATCAGCAAGTTGTTTGGCATAGGAAAGACCAGGACAATGCACTTCACCTACAGTCTGATGGGATGGTAGAAAAGTACAACTGGACAGGAATTGGCAAAGTTCTGTAATAGCCGCCAAGATGACTGGGATGTCTTACTCCCTCCACTGTTGATGGCCTATAGAACAGCAGAGCATGAAACCACTGGATACACTCCAGCAAAGTTGATGTTTGGTCGGGAACTTCGGTTGCCAGTGGATCTGTTAACAGGACGCCCACCTTATGAAGAGTTGCCTGAGAATGTGTCAGAGTTTGTGAAAGTGTTATCGGAAAGGATGGGTGATATTCACCATCAAGTGCGTTCAAAGTTGAAAACGTCTGCTGCTTCGATTAAGTTAACTGATGATAAGAGATCTACTGAAGTTAGCTTTGTACCAGAAGACAAGCTATAGTTGTATAATCCCAGGAAGACCAACGGGAAGTCTCCTAAGTTGTCTTCTCCATGGGAAGGCCCATATGACGTAGTGGATCGTCTCTCAGACGTGACTTTCCGAATAAAATGTGGTCGGCGAGGTAAACCAAAGGTGGTGCATGCCAACAGGCTTTGGTGTTATCACGGTCCAGGACATTTCAGTTGGGACGAAGTGAACAATGGAACGAATGACGCTGCTGAAGACGTGTCACCTGAAAAAGCCACTGTCGAAGAAGAAACTCCACTCGGTTTTGAGAAGGGAAACAGTGAAGCCCTTCATAAGTTACTACCACTGATGTGACTGTTACCGATGATAGGACATTTCCTGATGGAGCAGATGAACTTTACGTGAAGCAGAAGCCAACGAGACAGAGACCAGTACGGAAGAAGATACATCTCGTAAAATTAAGATACTTTGTTGAATTTTAATTTTGTGTTTGTAAATTCTGTACATTTAATTAAGTTATTGTTAATTGTTTATTGGTTTAATGTAAGTGGCTATTGTTCGAGACGAACAGTACTAAGGAAGGGACAGTGTTACTTCAGCGGAAGTCACGTGACGCTGGTAACACGTCATGAGTTTCTAGAAGGATCTAGAATTATAGAGTGTGTTTAAGTTAAAGTGACTGTGAAAATTTCGTGTATTGCAAAGTAGTATTGAGAAATAATAAACTAGTTTTATTTAAGAAAGGACTTGTGTCGCTGAAGTTCTTCGGAAATAATTTTTACGTTTATTAATTTCCGAGGAACTTTCTTATTTGAAACTAATTTATTCTTTCTGGATACAACTTTGTAATACACTTAACAAATTTTATAACACACGCTATAAATCAGTGATTCACACACTTTACTTCGGTGCCTACTGTTCGCTTGACTCAATTATCTCTATCTGCATATCTCTCTATCGCTGGCTTATATATTAAAAAAGACGGCGTCTAGCAAACACTGGGATATTCGTGAGGTTCCGTTATAAGTCATGATCCTTCTAGAAACTCCAGCGCGCATGCTTCCAGCGTCGCGTGACTTCCGCTGTCGTAACACTACGGTATTTTGCTGTCTGTAGCAGCAACAGAATTGTTTCACGTGATGTAGCTGTTATCGTTAGTATCTCTACAGATAGTGTTAAATTTACGCCAGAATAGCGAGAGGTAAGGTCTTGGTTTCTCAAGGAAAATGGAGAATTTTTTCTAGTTTATTTATTGCTGTTCTTTAAGTCCTCCCCTTGTGAGTAGGCGTAGCTGAAAGAGGGTTGTATTACGTCATAGTATATTCTATGTGGTTTGGTGAAGGAAGTTGTCCAAAGGTTGCTGATGTCAAAACCATGGTTTCTGTTGTGGGTGTAATTTGATACAAAGAGCTTCTTTAATCATCCTGATTTTTGCCGATGGTAAGTTAGCTGTCTTCAGAATTTGATGTTGGTCCCAATTTGTATGATATGGTCTATTTAGTAATTATGTTCTGCCAATACAGGTTTATTCGGGAAGTGCTAGTCTAGTTGGGCTTTATACTCTGTTAGTCTTTGTTATGTGTTTCAAGCTTTTCCACGAAAGTGTGTATTTCCACAAGAACGCTGTATTTTGTAGATTAGTTCTTTTGTTTTAACTTGTTGATGGGTTATTTTTTGTTTTACTTTCATTGGGTGTTTTGGAGAGGTTTCCAGATCTT